AACTTTTACTAGATAGGAAAAATAAACCTATTTCAATGATATAGAGAGTGTGTATATGTATGTGTGCTCATCATTTATGAGTCAATATTGTTCATGTTTACTTAAAAAGCTTTGATAAAGCAGGACATGTGCTTTACAAATGGGTTACAAAAATATTTGTACTTACTTTTTTTCCTCCCCTTCTTTAATTAATGCTTACACAGGATGATTTGAACACAGCTCTTCAAAATCAAAGGAGGTTGCTGGAAGAAGAAAAACATCTGGCCCTGGATATATTACGTGAGGAAGTATTGCATATGGAGGAAAAGCATAGAAAAGCACTCCAAGAACTTCAGGAACTTCATGAGGCAGAAATTAAGAAACATAAGGAAGAATACTCCAGGGAGCTGGAAAATGAATTGGGGAAACTAAAAGCACAGCATGAACATGAGCAAGAGGTCGGAATGTTTCTAATACCTAAAACCAAAATAATCCATACTTAACATGAAGTGAATTCAGGTTTATTAACCTTAGAAGTAAGGCTGTATAGATGCTTTTTGGATTTTTTTTTTTAATAGTGCCAGTAGATAAGAAGAGACAAAGTTAAAATTTTTAAGCCTTGCTTTATCTAAAAGGACTTAGATGAATTCTTTTATGTGTATTATCCTGAATTTTTAAAATTTAAATCCATGTTTGCAGTGCTCTCTTTACTGGGGTTGGGGGGGAGGGGGGAAGTGGGCTTGCTTTCTTCAGAGTTCCTGCAGTACTTAATTCAAAATTTTAAAGCTGCCATTTTGATAGAAAACTAACAGGTAATAAATTAGGTCATTAACCATTTGTGGAAAGTAACTGCTCACTTCAAGTTTTTATAAGTGAACAACACTTACCAACACCATTTTCTTCTTTTCTTAGAGAAATTATAGTAGGTAATACTTTTCCAAATATGTTTTCTCAGTGAGGTTTGGAAATCTTCCTAGTTGCCCTTAAAGCTTTACCATTTCTTCTTGCTGGGAATGTTTATGTGTAAGCTTGATGATGTTTACTTTCATAGTGAAGGCTAAAAGTTTGATCATCTATGCTAAGTTCTCTTTTTAAGCATTGAAATGGAATAAGATCTGTTTATTCAGTCTTTTACACAATCTGACTTCTGTTATTGCAAGCAGCCACAAGTGATCAAGACTTTTCACTTTTCTATATTATTATATTCGTATATTAGGAGAAGTCATAAACAAAATAAGCTTTATCCAGCTATAACCAAGCAACATATATTATGTTAAAATGTAACTTACTTTTGCTTTTTCACTTACTAATTTGAAAATTGGATAGTGTGCCAAATAACTCTCTAATCACTGGTGCACCTTTGTATTACTTGGTGCACCTCACAAAAAACATTTAGGTTTGAGGAGATCCCCTGTGTTCTTTTGGACTGTCAGGCCTTAGAGCTGGTAGTGGTTTCCAGCTGGCTGGAGTGCATTGCAAACTCTCTTTACTTTTGGAAGAATAGCTTGCCTGGGAAGTTCTCATGATTATTAAATTTTTAAGCCTTTCATCCTAGAAACAGGTTTTCTCTCTATTCTGATGACTACAGTGACACTTCTTAGAGAGGATAATAGAAAAATAAAAAGAACAAAAAACTCCCAAACCTTTCTCTGATATTTTTGATGGACTTCTTTGTTGTATCCCATAGGATAATTGCATTAAATATAGCTGTGTAATGTTTAATCCCATTTAAACAAGAGAATTTGTGTCTTAACAAATTATGCTCTCCCTGTGTTTCTCTCCCCCTCTTTCTTCCTTATTTCTTTGAATTTCTCTGACAAATGTCTGTTGGAAAGAACAAGTAGGGAGTGCTCTGTTAGTCTGACCTGATGGTCTCATGAATACAGGAGATACTTGGTACCTAATGCCCTGTTGGTTCTCTATTTTTATCAGCTTGCTTTTTTCTATAGTCAGCATGATGATAGATAGCAGCTCTATATGACCTTGAGGATTGAAGAGAGCTATTGTGAAAATACTCTTAAGAATTTGGCTGAGCTTGATGGTTTCATTTTGGTTTGGTTTTATTTTTTCCTTAATTATAACACTATGGCTAAAATATTTTATGTTACTTGTCTGCAGATGTATGCTTCTGCATCGGCCTCTGAAGTAGAAACTGTGCGGAAAGCTCTTCTGGCTCAATTTGAGGAGGTAAAATTGAAGCAGCAGCTTCAGTTCCAGGAAGAGATTGAGCTGCTGAAGTGTCAGTCGGAGGTACTGCTTGAACAGCAAATTGCACAGCTGAAGGTAGGGTCTGATTAAAATGAACTTCAGAGCATGCACTGGTAGTGTGTTTTTCTGAAAAAGAACAATTGGTATACCTTTTTGTTCTTCAGCCATATGACTTTAAAAAAATAATCTGAGTTAGATCTCTTCCTTGCTTCACAATGTTGAAACTAGAAAAGCAGTATTGGAAACAATGCAGTGTTCTGTAAGCAGTTGCGGTATTTACTACAGGGTTGTCTTAAAATCATGAATTGCATGTGAAGTGGTGTCCTTCAAACTAAACCAAAAAAAATCAGTGGAATGTATTTGCTCTAAGCAACAGTCCTTGCATACATTTCTGTTCAGTTTGTCACTTGAAACTTTTTCTTCTTGGTATCTGCAGAGACTATGCCCTTGGCCTATCACCCCTTGTCTACTGTGCTTGTGTATATATGGTAAAAAATGTTCAGTGTTATCTAAGCTTTTACCAAGTGTGTGATGATGGTGAGCACTTTGTGCATGAGATTTTTTTGTAGTTGTTCTTAATTTCTGCTTTCTTGGGTTCATCATTTGAGTTCCAAACTTTCATCTTGATGAGCATCTTCAAGATGCTTATCCCTGAAAATTATCTTTGTTTGGCCTTGTGTACGATGTAGTAATTGCCTATCATCTTCTGAGCCTTGTGCAAAATGTCTTCATCGGTTAGGTGACAAGCATGTGTAGAGCTATTAAATGAATGGAGAAGACACATCTTGCATCAGAAGAGAGAGGGAAACTCACCAACACACTGAGAGCAGTGCTTACATTCATCTCAGTGTTGTTATTGTACTGAGCATGTGTTGAGCTCAACTTGTTGAGCACAAATAACTTAGATTAGATGAATTACCATCTCCTTATTTGCTTCTCCTTGGGAGATTCAACAGATCCTTACTGTTCCTGTCAGTGCTCCAACCTGAGGTGGGACTCAGGATTCTCTGGATGCTGCAGATGTACAGAAAATTTCTGCTATTTCCTGCCTCTGGCCCACTGTGGAGTCCTGGTCATTCTTTGACCTCCCTCCGTCTGGTGCAGCTGTCTCTGACACAGAGAAGACAGTGTATCCTGAAAAGCTGCTGGAGGTATATTTGGCATTGCTGTCCTCAGCTGAACCCCAGCCTTCAGTCCACAGAACTGGGACTGGACTGACTGTTATGCATATACCCCAGAAGTGATTCCTGCTTTTCTCTCTTGTGCTGCCTAGGCGCTTTAGATACTGAGTAACATTTGGGACACCAGAAACCTCTCTTTTCACTGAAATTTTGCCAGGGGTAATTCTACTGCTAGTACAGATGTCTCTGTTCTTTTTTTCTTCTCATTACCTTGATGACTGGTGTTTTGTCCCAGAAGAGACTGACTGGATCTCTTTGCAATGTCAGGTTGAGCTGCATCATGGCCTGATACAGGTTTTTACAGTGAGCCTTCCCCTGCCTACTTCCCCCATGCTCATTTATGGGGTTGTCTTCATGCCAGCCAGTTTCCTTGCCTTTTCCCCCCCCCTCCCCTAGCAGATTTTAGGTATTCAGAGTTCCTTTCTCCAGTCTGACATACTCTTTTAGTGGGTGTACTGCTTCTGAGAAGAATAGGCAGGCTGTTTCAGAGACGTAGTCCACAAGTTTGCTGTACTGGTCGAGGAAAGTCCTCCTACTCCTTTGTGTCTGTTCATTTGTATCTTGCTAACTCCTGAGCGCTCTGCTGTTCAAGTCTATAATTCTGGGCACACTTGGCTCTTCTGCCTTGCTCTGCCTCATGGAGTCTGAGTAGGAGTTGGTATTGTTATTGCCCAAGTGCCAGTATTGGTCTTGATCTTGGCTATGATGACAGGCATTATGGTCTCATCAAGCAGCAAGCAGTCCTTACCTGAGGAACTGGTGATGGACGGGTTATTCTACTCAGTGCAAGGACTGGCTGAGTCTTCTACAAAGGATCCAGGACAGCTCAGGTGACTACATATGTTCTGCTCTGAAGTCTTATTTATGCCCTGGGGAAAAACTGTTTTCTTGACTTACCAATAAAAAAAGGCAGCTATCATCTTGGCGTGTATTGGTTTTCATAGATCAAATTGGACCTTTTCTGTTTGTTTGTGGGTTGTTTTGTTTGTTTGCTTATTTTGGGTTTGGTTTTTTTTAATACTGCGATCAGGAAGACTTTTTTCCCATTTCTGGTGTTGCAGAAACAATTACTTCCTTTTAGTCTCTCTGGAAAGGGATCCCAGCACTCTGTTTTACCTCTCTTATTTGCTGATGCAGGAGTCGGGGATGTCTAATAATCCCTTCCTTTAGAGTGTTTTAGAGCACTCTGAGGTAAGTGAGATCAAATTTAATAGCTTCTAGATCATTTAGCCATGTAAATCTACCTTGCAGATCTTCAGTTTGTTCTGGTAAATCACTCCTCCTAAGTAGAACTCAGTACTATACATATTGTACCACTTGCAGTTGCTGAAAGTGGCTTCTGTCCATCTCTGTCCTGACTTGTCCATCTGTTTTTTGTTCCTCATCACTATCTCAGCAGTCTGAAATGACCCAGGTCTCAGTGAGCACATTCAGATAGTTTATTTACCTACTTAACTATCTTTAAATCATAGTTTCAGCATAATTTTGTTGATTGGGGGTGTTAACTATGTAAATTACTGCTAATTAATCTGAGAGGTAAGTTATGTACACTTAAAGAAAAAAAAAAGAGGGGGGGGTTGGTTGTGGGTTTTTTGGGGGTTGTCCCTGGCCCCGGTGTATATCAAAGTATATGTGACTTATGCAGGATGAATTTGAAGCTGAAAAAAAGGCATCACTACATGACAAGGAGCAGGTGTTGATTCAGGAGAGAGAGAAGGCACAGGCTGCTCACCAAAAGGAGCAGGAGATGTTATCAGCCCAGCTGCAGGAAAAAGCAGCAATAATTACCCAGGTGTGTGGAAAATACTTTAAACTTAGATTTTAAATGTGCTTTTGTGGTTGTATTTTAGCACAGTGTTCTCTCCTTTCTCAAGATGTATATAGAGGGACTATGTGTATAATTCTTGTGATCGCTAGTTTTCAAGGTGTAATGTATGATGGGCTCTGTCTCTTACTTGGAGTGCTACAGCAGTAACATGGAAACTGAAACTGGGTATCAGCTTGAAAACTGGTCTTCAGCCACTTCTCGGGGAGATTAACACTGCTTTGTAAGAGAAGGTTGGATGTTTGCCTTTTTGTTGTCTGTGTGTTGATGCCATCTGTATCTATCTTTTTTTTTTTTTGTCAAGAGAATAGTGCTCTAGTAGCTTTTGTTAGACCAACTGACCTATGGCTCAGTGGGAGTCATATATTGAGGGAGTCAGGCAAATGGGAAGTTTGGATCTGGAAGTGGCAAAGATAATATTCGTTTGCCAAACAAAACAAAATTTTATGCCTCCTGTAAAGCAAATATCGAAGTTGAATCTAGGTTACCCAGAAAGCTTTAGAGAGAGAACAACAGCTTGAAAAAGGTATCTTTTAGGCAATTAGGAAGTTTAGAAATGTCAAGTGCTTTCTCAGTGATTATAATAATAGCTTTGAGTTTTCAAAATAGAAGATAAAATGAAATAAAACATTGATGTCTTCTCTCACAATTCAGGAAGCTCTGACCAAAATGTGAATTTGGTATATTAGGCTGTTCTGTTAGGCCTTTATGTTTAGTGGAAAAACTGGGAGTAACACTAAGAATTTCCCCTACTGGAAGAAATGCATTATTGTTTCCTGCTGTTCATGCAGGTGAGAAAGTTGGCATGGGAGTAGAATGTTTTTCTTTCCTCGCACTTTCCTCCTTGTTGTGGTTTAACTTCAGTTGGCAACTGAGTACCATACAGCTGC